TTGAGCGACTGCATTTTTGTGAGAACACCTTTTTTATCTGACGGGTTTCTGGAAAGATCTTCGCGCCTTCACAAAAATTTAATGTACTAGTCAAAATGTTTTTTTAGGTCTAGAAAGCCCAACACCTAACGATTTTAAAAATGTGATTTTTGTTCGAAAAAATTTAGCCTTTGGTGGAGAAAATGCAATTTTAAGTACCAACGGGCTAATTCTAATGGTAATTTTGTAATTCAGTTTTCTCAGCTTTGGAAGGAGCTAGAACAAAATTTTTTTTATCATTAAATAGGGAATTGTTTATACTATATACACCACTATTTAAAACAAAAAAATTCGCACGTACGATTTTTTCAGAAAACGCCGCCTAAATGCCCACTGTGTTTAGTTCATCGAAAATGTTTGTACGCTAAATTATCATATGCTTGAGAGAAGTGGAAAGTACGTCAGATCTGAATGCAAAAATCCGAGAACAGTTTGAACAAGAAAATTAGCTTTATGAACAGGCGCAAAATGAAGACATGTCTTCAACGCTAATTACAAATTATTTTATTATTATACCACACAATAACTGATGAACGTAAGGATGCAGATGAAAAACGACTACTGCCATATCAACCTTATCTATTCTTATGTACTGCTCTGTTTGGAATGCTCGCTAGTATAACGAGTTCGAACTGATGAAGCTCTCAGATATCATATCTGGCATTTTAGTTTACGAAGAATGACCAATCTATAGTAATCAAGTGAAAAATAACTAGCACAACGAACAATCGAAAAAAGAAAGTTATAAAATTCGAATGGAGACTATTCTGATCGACTAGGATATTGAACTTGCTACAACAGAAGTATTTTTGACTTTTCTTTGACAATTGCAAAAAAAATGATCAGAAAAATATGTTTTGATCACCAAATTTATTAGTAGACAGACAACAAGAAGAATAAAAAGAAAATTTGTAGAAGAAATATGAAAGAAGTTTAATTTAATTTTAAATGATTTGGTGTACACGACACCACCAGAAAAATGTCGAAGATAGAAAACCCATAACTATGACTTCTGAGATTCAAAATCGATTTTCTAAGAAAATTTTTATAGGTTGTTACTAGGTTAGGTTGAGAAGAAAAACTGACAGGATGAGTTACAGGTTGCAACGACCCGTTAACGCCTTAAATAGTATGAGGATAGTATTTTTGAGGTAAAAAATCAAAAATAGTTAGTTATAGAAAACATCTCAGAAACGTTCCCATAAACAGACCGTTTTCTTTACCGTAAGAGAACAGTTAAATCACGAGAGTAAAACGGCCCGAGTTAACGGTGAGAAAGCGATGAAACGGTGCAGAAACGATTCGTCAACCATACCATTTTCGTTGATATTGAAATAAAAACTCAGGTTTTGCTGTGTCCGTTTGTTTTTATACTTCATCCTTGTACAATTCGACCACTAGATTGTTGAAAATTTACATTCTTCGAAAAACTAGGCCTACATGTTTTAAAATTGAATGTTTAATTTTTCTAAGTTAAACAAAATACAAGCACAACTTATACAAGAGACAATGAAGTCTCTTATTTCACTTAACAATTTGTATTTTTCTATACATGAGGTTACAAGCATGTGCATTTCTATACATTTTTCTTTTCTTTTAACTATACCAACAGTTAGTCAAATAAATGTGTCTTGGATTTTTTCAGCTGTCTAATAGAAGACTTATATTCTGTAATAAATGGCTGTTCACTTTTACCGTTAATTACAATTCACTCACCTGGCATACGTGATTAATAATTGAAATCTTTGTCTATCATTTGCTTTTTAACAAATATATATATTTTGAAAACATTTTATAATCTTAAATACTGATCTGTGTAATGAAGTAGTTGTTGAATTGTATAATTTTCTATTATTTCCATTCATAAAATTAACCGCTTATCCATAAAACGTAAAACACATTTTTGCCAATCTATCTACTAGAATAAGAATCAAATGTGACAAACGTGTGCTCGTGGATGTTTATTCTCTTTCGTCATCTTTTTTGATTTCATTATAATAGAACAAAAAAAAGAATAAATAGTAGGGATTATTATTATGTTGTTGTTTTAAGACTTCGAGTGGAAGCACCACCAAATATATCAGTTAATATTATTATTACGGTTGTTGATCTTTTGACGTTTTATTTCTTACCCTCTAGCTACAAGCGTATTTCGTCTAGTTTGAATCACAAAACAAGAGCAGAGAGAGAGAGAGAGAGAATGGAAGAGAGGTGTTTTTTTAATAGCAGTCAACCATTCTAAATCATAATCTTTACTGTACTCTAATACCTACAAATATTAAGAATTGAGCAATTGTTTTATTTTAAGGATGAAGCGATAAATTCGAAATGTACGCTAGACGTCTGATACTATAATTATTTATATAGTTTTAGTTTCAACAAAAGGAAAAACGTTTGCTTTTCACAAAACGGGTTTTCCATGATATAAAAAATGTATAGAAAAAAAAACAATTTTTCCATCCATTTTTAGTGAAAAGTAAGCCTGTAGTAAAAAAAACCTTTGATATTTTGGAGAATTGTTTGTAGCTAGACAATTTCGACTCGGTGTAAAATAATGACCGATTTATTTAAGGTCTGTAAACATGTATACTTTAGCAAAAATGTCGAATTGAACTAGCAACCATTATTGAGTATTATGACTAGATAAGAGACTTTTATATATGCAGCCTTTCGTATCAGTATGATTGAGTATTAAATAACAGAATTGATCTGATATGATTTGCAAGTTCAGCAACCAAAGCTTGTCATTTATCTTTTCTTTCGTTCAAGGTTGTATTTAATTTTTGCAAAAGAGTACTGCTGTCAGAAAAAAGATTTCTGATTCATTAAAATCTTACCGAGAGTAAAGAAGTCGACTTATTATTGACAAATATTACATGGGAAAGTTTACCGCAAGTCGACCACATGAACCAGAGTAACCAGTTCAGCTGGATTATTCCCATTTCTTAAGAGGGGGCAATGGATTAGCGCTATAACTGTGATGATTTCCGTGGAAGAATAATTATGACGCCGTTAGTCTATTACCAAACAATCACGGTTTAGACAATCACGTTTCACAAACCTGCAAAACGACTTCTAGATAGTCCTGCTAGACGGCATTCACAAAATCAAACGTCAGATGATCTAAGCTCATTCGAACAGCGCTTGAAATGAAGGTTTGAAATTCGTTTGAGGTGAAGACTTACTAAATAATGCATACTGTTTTTTAAAAATAATTTTCACTTTTTGGGAATTTCCTGTGCAATAGCAATTATCATCTACTACATACGAAGAATGGTTCTATGAAAGTTATATTGCTAATCCATCACCCGCTGTTAAGAAATTTGAATACTCCGACTAGACTATTTTCACTTGTGGTCTATCTGTTGTAAAATTTTCCCGCGCAATAGTTATCAGTATCAAGTTGACTTTTTCTCTTTAATAATTCGGAAACCCTCTAAGTAAAAAAACTCTGCTTAACTAATAACAGGATCCGGAACTCAAAAAATCTAGTACCATACTGAAAACTGTTTTGAAGCTCTTTCGCTTGACTCACAAACCTTGAAGCGATGGTGTGATATATGCGCTCTTTTCCTTATTTTTTCAATATATAAATATATATACGAGTCCGATTGGTTCTCTCTTTTTCACAAATTCTATTCGTTCTATATATTTTTTCTTCGTGTTTTTCTCCTGTTACTGTGATAGAAGAGAACACACATTTATATTTGTGAACAAGAGTAGAATTTAGCCGTTATCAGTAGTTTTTTACATTTATTTGCCTGTTTTTAAGTCAGACTATAGTAAATAAAATTTAAAAAGAAAATGCGTTTAATAAAACAAATTGAATCGGAAATATCAATTTTCAATAATCATTCGATGGATTTTGACGACAACAACAATCATATCTATGTCGAATCGGATTGTATAAGCTCATCATCGAATGATTTAAATAGTGAAAATGAATTAGCTAGTGATGGCAATGGTCGAGAAGAAAAACCGATACAAAAAAGAACAACGAAATTGTCAGGAAAAAATAGTCGTAGTAGATTATTAAAAGGTCGTGTGAAAAAACCGAAAAAGAAGAACACACGACGTGAAAGAAGAAAATTGATTACAAATGAACGTTTATTCTTATTCAAGGATGATGAAGATCTTGGCGATGATGGTGATGATAACAATAGTGGATTTCCCCCACAATCACTGGAGCAACGTCATGCAGCAAATCTTCGTGAGCGAAAACGTATGCAAAGTATCAACGATGCTTTTGAAGGTTTACGAATACATATACCCGTTTTACCCTACGAAAAACGTCTATCCAAAGTTGATACCTTACGTTTAGCTATTGATTACATAGCGTTTTTGAGCGATTTATTAGATCAAGATAGTGTTTATAATAATCAACGTTTTCGTCCAGATGTTAACATGAACGGAGGAACATGTCCCAATATCAATCAAAAGAAAATAATTTTAAATTGTGATCCAGACGGTAAGATTTAAGAACATAGCTTTGTCCTGTAGACGAAAACGAGTTTATTTGAAGCGCATGTTGGAGAAAGTCGATACATTAACATGCCGTCGAATAGAGAGATACACATTCTTATAGCCTAAGATTATAATGACTGAGTTTTTCTTATAAATCACACAGAACATTTATGTTTTAATTATCATCGTTAAAAGATCTAACAAACAACAGAACAAACTAATAAGCGTTAATAGATCATGGAGAGATCCAAAATCACGTATAGAATATGAGAAATACTTATAAATTAACTAAAGCAGAAATAAAGTGAAACGAAAGAAGGAAAGATGACTTGTGTATATGTCACATAATAAATTGTTGAATAATCAAAGTCGAAACTAACCAGATTCACTTTTACTATTCAACAGAATTTCAATTTCTATTAGCTCTAAGCAGAAAACTCATTCCTTTTATCAGGGTTTGTTTTCTAGTGCCTGTTTCGGTGAAGTTTTTTACATATGTTACACAACAGGCGGTCTTCCTTTAGGTAACCTGAAGTTTTGTTGATTGTTATTATCAAAAAACATCATAATCTCAAATGATTTCTTCAATATAAATTCTAAACGTTTCACATATTATAGATGAAGTACAATTGAGAGAGAGAGAGAGAGAGAGAGAAAGATTTATTTATTCATATAATCATTTACAAATTATGATGTTATTTCATTGCTGTGATTGAACACTGATCTGAGTATAAAAGACAAGTTCACTTTAGACTATTTTGTAATCGGATGATATTCCATATGTATATGTATGTGTCGAATCGTGAAAAATGTGCTAAGATCATTTTTCATTACATGAAAAATAAACGAACATCTCATGAGAATAATAATATATTTTTAATCAAGGAAATAAGGTAGTCACGTTTTATCCAATCTTGTTCTATAAATGGAATATTTGATTTTTATTGAGAAATCTTCGTTATGCGTAAAGAGATGTAGTTTGCCGTAATGTTACAGGTTTTTCTCTTCTAATATCTAATAGAAAAACCTATCTAATTCTTTTCCACTTTTTATCAATAAATTTTGTTAATAATAATAATAATGTGAGTAATACAAAAATTTAGCTTAAATTAGTTAATATGTAATAGTTAAGATTACAAGGACATTTCGTCTATTATTTGATTGCAAGCTACTTATTCTTATTCATCCTTTAAATGTAAACAAACGTGTGTATGTAAGCGTGTTATGTTTATTAAATATAGAGAGAATTATCCAACACTTAACACAAAAAAATGAGTAAACAAATCAGCAATAACGGTTGATCATTTTTTTTAACCTGAGAAGCTCTGATTGACATTCGACCGGATTAAACAAATAGTTATCCTCCTCTCAACAACTTGAAACTAATTTATCATCGTTATATTACTTAATGAATGCTACTAATATATCTGTTCGATGTATTTTAATGACCTAGAGAGGAAACTCATCAATGAAGATGTTAAATTCTCGTATTTTTTATCAGCTGCCACCACAACTCGCCAAAAAATGATTGACCATTTATTTCTCGTCTCGTAGGACATTGGACAATTAATAATCATTATTATAATCATATCTCTAACAGAGAGATGATATTCGAATCTTTCATAGTCACAAATTGCATCAATCTCAGAAATCAATCAGAATAGGTAGTCGAATACTAAGAGAAAAAAAAAACAAGTTGTTCAACTACTTGATTAAATAGATTGATTATACTAAGCCGTGTGCGGTATCTTAATAGATAGTGTGTTGGAAGTTAAAGAAATTAGTTGGAACTCTATTTCTTTGATCTTTTACATATAACTGCTGGTATAACTAATAGACATAATTGTTTTCCGTATAGTAAACTTACAATTAGTCTATTGACATAAATGTCTCTATAATACTAAATCACGTACTTCAATTTTGTTCAACAAGAGAAAAAAGAAAGAAACCGACTCATTCTATTCACTGTTATTAATACTATAACTATTGTCGGACTACACAAAGGTAACTAATTTTTGTCTTGTCTTTTAAGAACTATTTTATAATTTCATATTCATGTTCACATTCACACAGTTTAAGACATGTAGTTTATTACTAAGATATAGTGGTGTCTACTCAGAATGAAAGTTGCATCATATATTAGTTATTAACTCGTTATTTTTCAAATGAAAAATTTCTCATCTTTCACACCGTTTCTACTTGATTAAACGAAATTGATTCATCTAATCTTGAAGTGGCCTCTTTTATATCTAACAGAAGATAGATAGAAAGTACCTATTTTTTCTCTTTTTTTCTGTTCTTTTAACGGTGTGATCTTGATAATAGAGAGTCAAGTTTTTCTACCGCTTCAAACTTAAAACAGTTTCAATTGTATTTAGAAAAACATCGTCATCATCGAGTGACTAATTGTTCGACCGGTAACTTTTTTTTTAACACTAGGAACAACAAACAAATCGAGGATGTTTTTATTACAGATTTTAAGAAATATTGTTCTCACACACAGAATTGAAGCTAAAATTTGATCGATGGATGAATTGATCGTTTAACGCTGTACAAATAGAAGAATTTTACCAATTTAATTTTTTTTACACTCCAGTTGTGATTGTAGACAGTAGTCTATTATAATGCTAATATTATACTAAACCATGCGCTCATTTCAATACAGATCCCTCTTAAAAATACATTTGCACTGTAAAAAGATAGGAACAGACGTTACTAATTACCCTGATTTTAAAAAAGAATGGAATTGATTCCAACTCTTCTCTTGCTGGGAAAGTCTAAGAACACCTCCAATAAGGAATTATGCATCTGCCGGAAAAAAAGTCTATTTTATACTAACGATAGCAACTCAGATATCTGAACTCTCCGCTCGATGAACACTGATGGTTCTATTAAATTATTTTTTGTGAATTATTCTAGAGTCAACTCATATTACTGGTCATTCTTTATCATGGTTTGATACTTATTCTACATACGTTACCACTTCACCTTCGATTGAACATGCTTGCAATCCTTATCAGTCAAATGTTGTCATAACAGCTAGAATATGGATACCAGAAATTATCTCATCAAATCAATCCCTCAATATTTCATCGACTGAACAAAAAGATAATATTGATAGTGCAAGTTGTGGTGAAGAAGAGCGACTACAACAACAACAACAAGAAAACGCGGATGAAAATCATTATCAATGGCCATTGAAAAAATCGACCGTTGTTGGTAATTCTAAATATGATTATACGAGACATGCAAATTCAACGACGAATCAAATGATTGTCGATGATCCACAGTATTCACAAAACATATCCGTTAGCAATAATAATAATAATAACAATAATATAATCACTAATGGTTTATTCGGCTACTATAACGAATTTTTTGAAATTGCCAGTGATTGGTGTACGAGATTACGCAATGATAGTTATTGTCCAACATCAACTTGTTCGTGGCCGACAAACGGTAATGTCGGAAGGCATTTGATATCAAACGAAAATTTAATAATTCCATCATTATCTGATGAGCATTCTTCGCCAATTTCTTCTTTATCTTCGCCACCATCTCATACGTCGGATCCAACCAGGCATTTATTAGATATAAACATCACAGCTCCCTTCTCCAATTCACAATGTCTGCAATATGAAAATGGACAACTAATTGAAGAATCATCCGATCTCTATTCACATCCATCATCCTTGACATCTCTACCGATATCGTATGACAATAATACACTGGATGCTGCCTGTTATGCAACATTAACAAATAGTTTTGAACAATCATCAGATTATTATATGTTTTCGTGTGGATAGTGATCATACAGAGAAAAAAAAATAAATCACACTTACACAAACAAATTTAAATATGTTAAGAAACAAATTGAGTTAAATTTAAATTATTAGTCGTTCTCTGTGTCATTGTAGTAGTATTATGTTATTCTATTGTTATTTTTTATTTTCTGTTTGTTTTTGTTTTCTCTTTTACTTTATACAACATTGTTATAATTATTAAGCATATCTAGATTAAACAATAACACAAAATCTATCCATATTACAATCAATCTATTCCTATGGTTATAAATAGTAGAATGAATTTAGTATGATTGGTGATTCTATTGTATACGCGGAATACAAATAGTATATGTATCTGCGTATGTGTCTATGAGGGTAGAATCAATTACGTTTAATGTGTGTGTGTGAGTAAGTGATGTTTTTTATCGATATAACACGCCTTCGGCTTTTGAAATAGATGGATATAATTATCATCATTTTTTTTTAACAATATATATCATGGTTAAAAGGAGCTTGAACTGAATGCGACACGCACACGTGTACATATACACATTATACATATCATTACAAGTATCTACCACTCTTCTGAAGTTTGAGCCACACATTAACTTATTTCGTTAAGAATCAGTAAAAATTAATCTTGTACGCTATTAACTATTCGAAGTAAAGTAAAATATTCTTTAAAAGAAAAAAAAAATTGAAATGTATTCATGATATCTATTATCGTGTTATCAACTAAACTTCATTTATGATTTATCGAACTATGAGAAAATCGACAGTTGATTTTTTCTTCTTCTTATTATTATTATTATACTTTTTTTTATTTGTCAACATACATCGACGTCTTAAATCAATCAAAATCAAATTTTGGTTGCAGAAATGAAAAAAATAACTATCGTTAAGTAATAGGCGATGTTTATTTTTAATTGAAATCGAATAACTAGTTTGATTTAATTTCCTACACTTTCTTGTCTTAGATATCAATATTATATCAGACAAACATGGTAGAGAGATTGATGAGGTGGGTCAAAATGTCGTTTTTTGAGAAGAGTAACAATATCCCAATTTAGTCTCAGAAGATTTATCAAAGTATTTATTGATGCTCTTTGAACAATATATTTGTGTACTATTCTTCTCTTCAATTGTCTATAACTTTATTAATCCCTTAAATATAGAATAAGCATTATTTGTCGGCAAAATAAGACAAGGTAGAACGAAAAATTTGAAGACAAGATTTTTTTTTTCAAAACACTTATTTTCTTAAAAATCAAATAGTAAAAAAGATCAATCAATTTTGTGATTATCGAATGTAAATATGATGCTGTTAAACAGTAGTATATGCCTCGAAGACATTTTACAGATAAAGATGGATGAAGGATTAATGACCCTACGATGTGCTTTTATAGTATGCGACAGCGACACTATATAATCAACTCTTTTCAATATCAGACCGCACAAGAAAGAAAAACAAGAATATAAAATTTACTTTTCGAAAAGAAAAAGAATAATAACTTTGACGGTGTATATACATATATATCCTTTTAGCGCTTCCATTGAATAAACTGAAGCAGATACTCAGTTACGGTCTTGAATATAGTAATAAGTATGACTGTTTTTCGAAGATTCGTAAAACATTCGACTAAGTGACGTCTTTCTTCGAAATACGTCTAGTAATATATTGTAGTCTCTACTGAGACAAATGTTCTTCAGAATAAAAACGTCTATTACACGTGGAAGAAATGAAAAAAAACAAAACAGGATTCTACTTCATTTTTCTTTTTATCACCGCTGAGATATCGCACATTCTAGTTTTTTTTTTTCTGTTTAGGTGAGTATGGCAAGATACTAGAACGTATAGTTTATTAGTTTTATTATCAGTTATTTTTTTATTAAGTATATCAACATGATACGTTTATTTCTCTTAATCATCGTTTTGTTTATTTTTTTAACAAAAGTAGCATTTGGCATTCAATGTTACCAATGTGATGGTAAATTACAAAACAGTGAATGTTCAAATCCACAACAGAATGTTGGCAGTCAGGATGTTAGAGAAATAGAATGCCGGAATACGAAATTATGTTGGAAAGGAATTACAAATGGTAGAATACGACGTGGTTGCGGAGAAAAACGATGTGTTCTTCCCGATATTAACTTTGGAACGTTTTTATCACAAACATGTTGTGCAAATGATCTATGTAATAGTGGATCATTACAGTCATATTTATTTTCAGTTTTTTCCATATGTCTCATTTCTACACTTTTATTACGGCGTCAAGGATAATTTCAAATAGATAAAACAAAAAAATAAAAAATAAAAACTTTTGTACATCGAACCACGGCTTTTAGAACAATTACATTTGTTTTTTCTATAAATATATAAACTGTTTTCTCTAAATTTTTATTAATTTATGATATACGTCGATTGATTTTGATGGTTGAAATATCTAATGACCATTTGCTCAGTGTAAATAACAGAAATTTAGCGTGTTGACAATGCAATTATCGAAGGCAAAAGAAAGAAAATAAGGATTAGTTAAGAATATATATTGTCAAATACATCGCGCACCTGTACTCAGACACTAAATTTATCTCTTCATGCACAGATATATAATACCTTAACACTGATCGTTTTTTTTTTATTTAGAAGTCTAATACTACAATGCTTAATATGTTTTAAGAAGATATCTTGGTTGAATATTGCTAAATTTACTAGATATACAATAGCTGTAAATTATTGGTAGATAATAAAAAGTATATTTAATATAATTGAAAAATTTTAAAAGTTTGTTCAATTGAAATTAACTACACATTCATACTCTCTATTGTCAGTTTAACTTGTACGCAACAAATTTTGGATGATGGTACTGTGAAAATGATTCTTAATTTCGCTCAGCTTTTAGTTCGCTTCATGAACATCTAAAAAAAAATGATTAAACAGAATAACGGGGAAAAATGACGAGATAATCCACTATGCAGAATCTGAGTATGCAGTCGGTCTTGAGTGACCAAGCATTTGGATTTTTTGCTTAGATTGATATGTATTAGTCTATTAATTGGCACATCATTAGACTACTACGATTGGTTCTGTTTTGGGGCATGAACAGAGTCCTGCAGAATTGTTCCAAACCATTACCTATGAGTATGAGAACGAGTCTCAAACAAAACATCAGAAAAGTATGTATTCGGATAAGGGTCTCAATTTGGAAAATAATTTTTCTGATCTTTGGCAATACCCGCTTGGATTGATAATCTAAATTCTGGTGTTGCTTATAAACTACAATATTTTACAAAAATAATACAATTTTTTTTAAAAAGTAGTGAACAAATAATTCACTACTTTTCACAACGATTTTTATTCAAACAAAACAATTTTACAATATGGTTTTACAATACTTGAAAACACGATTCCATACTGCACCTATTTTATACCGTTTGTTTATTCTTTTTATGTTAATCCACTTTGACTAAAACATATAGTTTTCGCCTGTATGAAACTATAAACTTTTAATGCTGATTGTTTTATTCTTTTATCCGTACTATGAAACATTGGACGATGTTTTTGTTTTAGTCAATATGGATTAATACAAAACGAATAAACAAAAGGTATAAAATAGGTTCAGTATAGAATCGTGTTTTCAAGTATTGTAAAATCATATTGTAAAATTGTTTTATTTGAATAAAAATCGTAGTGAAAAGTAGTGAACTATTTTTATAAAATATTCGGAGACTAATCGATCAATACAGAAAAAAACAACTTTGTTTGAACACACATATAGATGGTTAATAGTTTAGTGAATTTTGTTGAAAGTTTTGTTGATTAAGAAAGGAAATTTTAAGAAGTCAGATTACCTATGAGTACGGATATGAAAATTTGAACTGAAATCGAAAATACTGCGACTGCAATTCTTTATGATACACCCGTTAAGTATTTCAAGATATTAAACACAAATCCAGCGACCATTTAGTTCTTCTAGTTAGTTTCTTCACTCTTAATTAATACATACTCATCATACGTTTGGAAGATACTTCAGAATATTTTTCTTTTTGAAGTTTGTTTATTTCAAAGTTTCGCTTTTGTTATAAGTATTATGCAACATTGTAGTCGAAAAAACAAAAACAAAAGAAAATTCTTCTCTCTGTACCATAACTACTTGAAAAACATTTTCAATAAAAGTTTTCTTGATAGTCATCGGCAACAATCTTGTATACGAAAACAAAAGTAATCAGCCATTTTGTGCTTTTTTTAACTCAAGTATTACTATCTTGATTTTTTATTTAAAAACATCGTCATGAGGTACCACTGTAAAAAAAAATGAGACCTTCATTCGTCCTTTATTTTAGCTGGTTTCAGAGAAGCCATGGAAGTGTTCTGAAACGTGGAAGAACTTATTGTAAAACTATATGAGACCAATGAAGGACTCACTTTTCTTTGTTTTTCGAGTTCTCTAAATAGTGGCAAAACTTATTTTTTACCAGGCACAAATATTTTTATTTTTTCACCTGTATAGATAGCGCATAGCGTTTTATAAACAACAAATGGAATTCATCTAATTTTTTTACTCAGATCAGTTGTATCGGCTCTGAGTAAAGTCTTAGTATTTTTCCGGAAAAAGTTAAAATTGAGAAACATCACCTATTGAACTTCAATAAGCTTTTAAACCTCTTTTAAAAACAAGGAGATTCAATGTGGTCGATAACCTGTGTTCCAAACATGTTTGAGATTTCCGCAAATCGAGTAATACCATTCCCAAGACTTCTAGAAAATCCGATGCTACTTTTAAACTATGACAAATGGAAAAATTAAATAAATCCCATTTTTTGTTTACAAAAGATTCCGCACTATCCATACATGTGAATACATAAAAATATCGAACCGCAGGTCTGTATTAGTTTACTACCAAAACTTATTTACAAAAGTAATCGAATCCATTCCTTGTTTATATGGATAATAGTCCGTTTATAGAATTTAGAAATAAATAACTAGTGTAAACGAGTCACTAGAATTTTTCTTTCATAAATGGAGCAACATCTGTCAATGAATCCTTACCGAGAGTACGCCATGCAACGGCCATATTTACCGTCTAATAAATCACTGACATCATCATTAGTACAAACAACGGGCGCATTTAAACGTGCAAATAATAGCGTTACAACAGCAAAGCTTTTATCAACATACCATGAACTTATGGGTAATCAAAAACCAATTGCTCTAGACCGTTTTACCTATAAACTTCATATAAAATCGAATTTGAATATCAATAATTTAAATGAATCAAAAGGAAATCATTATCATCACAATTTATTGACACAACTAAATTCATTGAGGGGAAGTCGCACGACGCATCGTACGCCCACGGTTACTAGCGCGGCAACCAATACTACCGTAGTGCCAAATACAAAACTGAATTCGTCGTCGAATGATCAATCGACAGCTGATATCATAGTACAAGCAAATACTATGCATGTTGGTACATTAGATGATCTTATCAAACAATTTCGTAACGCAGACTATAAAATTGTTAAACGGCCCGATCTGAATATTGATAGTACTCAAAAATCTTCCGCATCGAACAAGCAAACATCATTTGATGGAGCAAAACATAAACTTAGCCGACCATTCTCAGAATATCAAATGAATGTTCCACTAATAAATGGAGGTTATCATCGTTCTATAACAGCTGTTCTAGACACTAACAGCAATAAAGACGGTATGCATCAAACTCTCATGTACGACTATCAAACATCCGAACACGATGACTACGATTTTCAACTACCGCATGAAACACACCAACAACGACATCTCAGTACGCCTGTATCATTCAGTCAACAACTAACAGAACGTTTATACGATAATGAAATCAATTATAAACTAAATATTGATAAACGTATTAAAAATGCTCGCGAAAAAGCAGAAAATCGAACTGAAAAAAAAGTATGTGTTTGTCATAAATTAACAATTATAGATCCGTTTCATACTTTAAATATTGATACCGATGATACCCAGTTATCTTATTTAAAACAGAATGTACCATCTGTACGCTATATCTTTCCACCTGTTCGACCATTTGGCTACTTGACAAGAAAAAAACAATCTACTGACGATGATAACTCGACATCTCCATCGCTACCATCAAAAAAGAAATATCGACGACGTAAAAAATCTCGACAAAATACAAGCACAACAACAGCAATCAGTGATGAAACATTGGAAAATGACTCGCTTGTAGAAAAAGATGACGATTATGACATTATGACGTTAAATGGAACATTGGACGATACGTATAGTAGTTTTTTGGAAGCTGAATCCAATTTAACCCTCCCGTCTTTAAATATAGATGAACAACAACAAAAGCTTTAATTTGAAACGTTTGAAGATCGTAAGAATAATATTAATAATAAGAGTTTAAGAATAAATGCGGCTAACATATTTGATTCAATATAATTTCAAAAGTAAAATACAATTAGAACTAGATTGCTATTGCGCTGCGCACAAACTGCGATGTTGACAGACTGTATTCGATCTGAATCTCCCAGAAGGGGTCCGCAGTCAATAGAGGGTTCACCACATTACCTTCGTTGGATTTCAACTGTTTTAAAACATAGATTTAAGAAAAATGAAATGAAAACGAAATTTGAAGAGAGAAAGAGAAAATAAGAGAAGTCAGGAAGAGAGAGAGAATTATTTTCCCTCTGAAGAACAAATAGTGCCGGACAACAAGCTATTAATGAATATATGAAAACTTTCTAAGTTCAAAGTCAATTTTCTTCCACTTTTCGAACCTTGTGGCGCCGGTTACAACGTGGATATTGGAAAACGAATACCCAATGGTCAATTTTCGGTACTCATAGAACGATTTCGAGTTTTCAGAACTTTTCTACGTTGTGTAATTCTAGTACTAGAGAACTAGCTCTAATTAATATTGACTCTTTCACTAATAGTTTACACCGGTGTTTTTTTCCATGGTATGATCTCAAAATCTTTATCTGTGAATGTATGACTGGTCTGGGTATGGTGCTTTCCAATAACTGATTCCGCAATATAATCCAATTCAGATTTAGTGTTATTTCTGACAGAGGAAATCTGGTAAAGTGTTTGGGCTATTATGTTCTGAGCTAACTGTTCAGATGATTTTTTAGGTAGACTACCTGCTTGTGACTTACTAATAGTGGCACGTTGTGCGGCTCGTTTCAAAGAGATACTATTACTGTTAACTGTTGAACTGCTGCAAATATTCTTTTTAATAAAAAGTTTCCAAAATTAAGACGGCCTCTGTTACTAACAGTAATAGTATCTCTTTGAGCACCATACCCAGACTGGGCATACATTCACAGATAAGAATTTTGAGATCATATTACGGGAAAAACACCGGTGCAAACTATTAGTGAAAGAGTCAATATTAATTAGAGCTAGTTCTCCAGTACGCAATGGTACAGATCGTTCTGTACCACTCTGCGTCTATTCTAGTAGAATGAAATCGTATTTGTGAGATAGAAAAAAGATACCTAGGCAGGGTCTTGGCAGTATGTAAAGGACTTCTTCTCTTTTTGCCTCAATATTTGCTGGATTATTTAATAGCAGGCCGATTTATCAATCATACTCATCATCCTCGTTGTCGGATAGTATACTAGTTGGCAAGGGACAAAAATAGTTGTGTTGATCACGTTCCTTTCTCTTCTTTTACCCTTCCAGTGTGGGTTCATAAAACAGAATAATAACGGAATATTTTTGAGTCATTTTTATCTTTCCTCGTTGTGTGAATGTAGACTAGACACAAGGACAAGAAGAAATTAAAATATACCTTATAGACTGGTACAAACAGTTTTTATTTTCACATGGAGCGTCAACATGTACGTCAAAGACTTTAACTTGATAATGACCGAATATATAGGTCGAAATATCGTATTTTGATTCTAATGTTAATTCTAATTTATTATTTTATCTTTACAATTATATTAAATTAAATATGTTAGCCGCATTTATTCTTAAATTCTTATTTGATTTGAAGATTTTGCTGTTGCATAATTTGCATTAGTCTGTAGCTTAAAGTTTATTAACTTTTAAAATATTTTTTAAACCTGATGATGTCATTTTTTCGTGTTATATACTAGAAAGGTCTGCTACACGTGTTTGAATAGATTTTACAACTCTTTCGAAACTACGGTTGTCCTTGACTGGAATACGTTTATGTCAGATGAATTCAGTAAAAAAACAATTTCTGATCTATTTGTTGAATAACATCACAATCATCAGTGTTATGTTCTACCCGAGTTAGATTGTAAATACTTGTTTAACTGTTTATTATAAAAGAACATGAACAAAGCAGAAAAAACTTTGCATACTATACAAACACACATATATATATATACACTGAACATATAATTGTTCTTAAAGTGAGTCGATCTAAGTTTACTGCAGGATCATACTGTAAAAACATCTTTACCTTTGAACATAAAATTTTTATTTCTCAAAAATATGTGTATAATTAAAATAACAAACAGAGACAACAAAGAGGTTAGCATAAGTCTGATTTTTTTATGTGAAAATAGATCATATAAAATAAAAAATACCTTACAAGTGCAAAAATCAAATGTTTTCATGTTTCGCGCTTATTTTTTCAATATAGCAACTGCTGCAGCTGCTAAACCGCCAACAATCAATGCTCCAGCACCAATAGTAACTCCGAGACCAATGGCACCTTCAACATTCATACGTCGTTCTACTTCGTGTTTTAAATTTGATGCTTGGTGATTTTTTGATTGAACATGTAATATAGCATCTAAATATTTCAAACTTGATTCATAATTTCCGAGACGTGCTTCACCAATTGCCATATAGTAAAGATAATCTCGTTTAGCATCATCTTTATTTGTTTCATCATATAATGATCTTAATATAGCTAAACCACTCCGTATATCATCTTTGACTTTACTTCGTACAAGACAATAGGAATAGGAAAATCGATTTTGTTCGGTTAACTGACCAGCTTCTTCAGCTTTTAAATATAATGTACGATACTTTTTTAATTCTTCTGGTAGTATAATTTCATCTAATTCATTCGTCATGATTAATAAAATTGACTTTTGAAAGACGACAGGTAATAAGGTATTTCAAAAATGAATAATAATTCAAATCTAAAATAAGTAAATAAAAATAGAATGTAAAATTCAGTTTATTATGTCACATGACGTTCTGACTAAGAATATTACGTTAATAAAAGAAAAACATTTTATAAACACATATTGCTTGAAACTTTACGCGTCCAAATAAATGTATACCTTTACTTTCAGTAACTCAGTGATGCACAGATGATCAGTATTCATGTTAAGCAAAAGGTAAATGACTAGTACCCATTTTTTCCTTTCTTAATTAGAGTAACTGTAACATGTCATCATTTTACTGTAATAAACGCAGTATATACTTGCGTTTAACATTTGTATTTAAAAAATCGAAGAAAAAAAATATTACTTTAGTAATGCTGGTATGACTCAATGATGACTCTAAATTTATTCGAGAAAAGAGTATGAATCAATTCTTAATAGAAAAGAAAAAAAGAATCCAGCAGAACAGATAAAAAAGAAAGTTACACACTAGTCAACGATCAGCTTGGCCTGAAAGGCTGAATCAGCTTTACAGTTTTATCAGGGCTAAATCAGACTTCAGTAAAATGTATCGACTGGTTGAGAAATGAAAATTGTGCAACTGAATTTTCTGAAAATTTGACTGATTTCGGTCAGCCTTTTCAGCTATGAATCAGTTATTCGAAGAAAAAGCTTCACGTAAACAAAAAAGATTTCTAAGCTCTAAAAAAAACTTAGAATAGTACAAAAATTAGATAACTTACACTGTCACAAATATTCAAGAACAGTGTTACTCTGAATAGGACTTACTATCAGGTGTACTCCTTAGATCCGCAACATCATGTGGTTATTCGAGTCAGCCCTGAAACCACTGATAAGGATATGCACTCATGAATACTTTTCAGACCATACTGACGTCGACTATTGTCCATCCAAAAAGAGAATGGTCTATGACTGTTTTTTGAATAACCTTTGTCGGATTTTCTACGAGTCTCAGGACTGGCACCCGATGAATATTGGTAGCCTTAAAGATGGGTGAACTATGGGTAATCGACCATGCTAAGTCTCCTAGCAATATTTATTTTTAGAAAATTTGTAAAACTCTAACGAAAAGCGAGTTTTAAGAAAATTAGAATTTCCAGGCTATTTTCACCTAATATTAAAACATCCACTATTCACTCAGAAAACATCAGAACGAGTCCAAAACTTCAGAATGCAGAGTATTTAGGCTGTGCTATATCCTATTTATAGGCGATCTCAACAAAAATTTTACAAAATCCTGAGGATTTGCGAAAGCGTTTCTGAAAAATCTATTAACAAAAAATACTTTCTTGATTTTTTTCGATCACATAACCACGTTTATGGGACAATATTAGTCACATCCTGAGATTTTGGGCTCGTTCTTGTGGTTTCTGAGTGAATAGTGAATTTTTTAATATTAGGTGAAAATAGCCTGGAAACTCTAATTTTCTTAAAACTCGCCTTTCGTTCGATTTTCAAAAATTTTCTATAAATAAATATTGCCAGGGAAAATGAAGGTCGTGCTTGACTCCCATATTGAAGAGAACATCCCTCCCTATTAGACCATGAAAATCAATACAATCCAATTTGAAAATTTTTATACAATGCCTAGTTTTCCAAAAACCGCCTCGAAAACCTGTTTCAGAAAAACTCTAAGAAATTTTTGGATATAAAAATATGTCTCCAAGCCTCTTCTTTCGAATGGTGAAAACCAGAGCTATCTAGCTCTTTTCTATCAAAAGTTATTCAAAAAACAGTCATAGACCCATTCTTTATTTAGATGAACAATAGTGAAAGAATCTGTGTACAAAATTAAAACGTTGATCATCTGTTTGAAAATCATCTCAGAGTTGGGCAAATTCACAAGTCGAGTCAAGTCATCATCTTCAGTCATTTTTTTTGTTGTTTTAATACATACCAATGAACTTGAATAAGTATTTTCGCACACACCACTCCATGAAAAGAATAAATCAGTATAAAAATGCAAACGAGCTGAAAACTGTTATACTGTCCAAGGTAGATGACTATTATATTTTAGTAGTGAAAGTATTTTTATCGTACTGGTATAGGACACTTGTTTAAATCGACACAAGTCATAAGTCAAGTCATTTTTGAATTGCTCAGCTTGATACATCTTTTTTCTTGCTAATGAACAAAATTGACCAATAAGTTCAAAAATAAATAATTAGATAGTGCTTGAAAATTTTGCTGTAATTAAACCAGTAAAAAGTACATATACAATAATAGACGCCAGAAACAACAAAAAGGCGTAGAAAAAACGAAAACAGCTTGTAATTGATCGACAGCAAGAAAATATAATAAAATGGATTTATCTAGCAGCTTTGAACTCTTACTTCAAGCAAAATTTAAAACTCCAGAAAAAAAGTTAGATAGTTTGACAGGCGTGATTGTGTTTTATTTTAATATCAATAAATACATACCGGACGTCGAAAAATTTGAAATGAAAAAGAGTATTGGCATAGTTAATGATTATATGGTCTTAATAGCTGTAATACTTGTTCACAGTTTTTGAAAGCTGTTGAAATGTCTTCATGTTCTAGTGCAGAATTTGCATAACGACAAAGTTTTTGTGCTTGGGCGATGATCTCGTGCGGAGCATCTAAAAAAAAACCAATCTTTTGGTTAATGTATTATCAGGACTAGTGAAAGTAACGTACGCAATTCAGTTGATGGTTGATCGTAACCACTGGCACCATAAAATCCATAATTGCCGCCACCAGTAGCAGCAGGTGCAGGTGGTTTTTGTGGTGGTAAGTTAGTTCGCGGTGGAGATGGGGGTCGATAAGCATTGGGCGGTTGTCCCGCGCCGAAGGTTGTATTCTCAGCTAAATAGAATAGATACGTATTACATCCAATCTCAGAATCAGACATTTTTGACATACGTGGTTTGGCCGCAGCTGCTGATGATGATCCTCCACCTAATCCAGCACCACTTTTTAATTCACGAAATATTGATACTGCACGACTTTTTGACATTTTTCCAAGTGCAACAAAATCGTCTTTTACGGGACCGAAGACCGATAAGACATCTGTCAGTCCGCCGATTGTATAATATTTTCTCATTAAAATCCTTCAATAGAATAATCAAATGTCCTCATGAAAAGTTATTTGCGTAAAAATACAAACAAACCGAAGTTGATCGGCACTTTTTTGTTCGTCATTTTCAATCTCGTTCGTTTCACCGGTCAAAACTGTAACGAGTTCTTCAATGACTTGTTGACCAGTTGCCATTGATTTGATTAATTCGTCATCGGCATATGTTCTCTTCATCTATCGCAAAAAGTACACGAATGTATAAACAATTTTCAAGAGAAATGTTGACAATTCATCTTATCTTACAAGTTCTAAAGCATCGATCACTTGTGCGGCAAATGGCTTTTGTTCTTTTCCAGCTTTTAAACTTTCATGAGCAATGTACCTAAAAATTGCACCAAAAAATCTAGTTTATTAATAAAGAAAAAGGTTTTTTTGCTTTTTGCTCACATGAGACCTGAAAAGAAAAGGCAAAATTAGTAAGAAATTAGCAAGTCACTTTATACATACAATAATAAGCAACAGCAGCTGTTTCTGGATTCTTTTCATATTCTTTAGCTATCTGAAAATGTTGCATGAGCTTTGTACGCATTTCAGCCGGAGCTTTTTGAATTAAACCCTGAACAAATAACAAAAACATATACTATAGTCTTGCCCAAAATTAAACCAAGAAAAACTTACATCTATTGACGTCATATTTGTATGAATGAGTAAAACAAAATTAATCTACAAAAAAAAACAGATTAAAATTAAGTGACATATAGATAATAGAACTTATAGTTAAATAATAAAAGTGAGATTTTTCCATTCAGTTGAATCTTCCCTAGTCAAAACTATATGGTTTCTTCTTTGGTTCGTTAGCCGTATCTCAAAGAACAAATGCTTCATTTTCAAAATCGCTCATTTTTTGTAACGTGTTTGCTGAGCTTGAAATCACCTACTATCTTTATAGAAAGAAAAAACAATGTTTGCAGTTTAGTCATTATAAGAATTTTTGCCATAGAAAAGAAAAAACATACAGAAAAACAATTGATAAAAATGAAATGATTTTCCTAAAAGAAAAAGTAATAAACTTTTTTTCCTTGATTGTTCATAACAAAGATAATAATAAAGGCGTATAACAAATGGAAAACAAAAACAACCAAGAAAAAGAATAGAAAATTGTCTTGTTTTTGGTTTCCTTTGGCTATCACTCTCAGGTATCCATTTGTTCTGTGGCCACAATCGTTCTCGGATCACCGGACGGTGCTGGTGGAGGCGGCAAATCCTCGTCATAACTTGGCTGAAAAACAAAACAGAAAAGTTTTTCTATGTATCTCGATTACAAACAGAGAGTAAAACATACCAATGTATCATCTTGACCGACTTGTGGAGCACGTTCATCTCCTTCGATTGATGTTAAATATGTTCCAACGCGATCATCTTTCAAAAGTTCAAATGGACAATCTTTTCCAACGACAGCGACAGCACAATTCTGTGTGAAAACAAGCATTCGAATAATAGACTGCAAAAGCAGTGTTGCTATTAAATCATACTTTAACAGTAAGCTCAACTTCATTTGGTAATGTATCTCTCAGTGCACGCATACAATGTTTAATTAATTCATCTTGATTTGAATCGACAAATTTATCTAAATTCTTTTCCAAATACGTTCTCGCTGACTGTGAACGTGAACCAATGGCCATTGATTTACATGAATAATAATTTGCCGATGGACACAACTGATATAAATGAGAACCCTTTTCCTGATAAATAAACACCAAAAGCATGATATACTATCCTATTACTTTTATTTTGAAGTACTCACATCATAACCAGCCATCAAAAATCCAACACCGAATGGACGTCGTCCATAACGTTGTGTTGGTACTTGACATTCTTGATTAAAAATTTTGTCAAGGAAGACAAAAAATGAGAACAACCAGACTAAGTAGTAGAAACAAACAAGAAAAGAAAAAAGATACTATTACTAACATTATCCATTAACTTCATTACGGGCATTGGTTTATCGAATGCATATTGATGATTTATGCACTCAGTACGCATGAAGCGACTAAAACAGAATTAAACAAAATTACTTCAAGTACTGCAGTATTATAATCCTCTCACCATAATATTCGTGCATCAGACGCTAATCCAGCTATTGATACTCCAATATGATCATCAATAAACATGATTTTCTTTTGATGTGCTGATAATTCGGATGGTGCCCTCTGAGACACAAAAACAAGTTGCAATTAATATCAAAATTATACAATGTACCAAATCCGCAAAAGTGTACCTTTAAAGCACATAAAACAACATGTGTTTTGGATTTAACTGCAACCGTTGCTGCACCTTGTTTTACTGCTTCCATAGCATATTCAATTTGATAAATACGACCCTACAAAACCAGACAAAATTTCACAATATCTAGTCAGATTATCAAATTTTTTCTTTGCTTATCACCTGTGGACTCCAGATGCTAACATCATGATCGTACTGATTACGAAACTAGAATGACACAAGAAAATAAATACCGATATTCTTCATGTGCTCTAAACGCTTACCATTTTTTATCTTCAATGAGCGAAAGTTGTACCACGAATGTATCTAAAAGAAGATGAACTTAACAATCTTGAAAATATAATGAGAGAAAGTTCACTATTGTTCGTGTTTCTTGATCGTTCATAGTATCAATAAAAGAAAATTGAGTGCAAAAACGCTTGAGTGCAAAAAAACTAAACAAAGATTAGTTCAGACAACTTCAAATAGATCAGGGCACAATCTTGCTTGCTTTCACATGTACATTAAGAGAGATGTAGTAATAAGAAAAAGTGTGCATTTTTTCTAACCAAACGTTCAATGACTGAATTTCTTCGGCAATCGCACTAAGTCGATATGTTTTTAGAAAAAGACGCATAGCAGCTGCAACTTCGTTGAACTAGTCATCATCAATACGCTAGAAGAACAAAAGAAAGAAATGTACATACATGCGCGTTAGGTTCTGTTCACACTTGTCATTTGAGCTAATTATTACGATGATTCATCTAAACTCTCTTTGAATAATAATAAGGCGTCAGATATGACTTTTGTTTAAAAGTAATAGCTACTGATAGAGTTAAATAAGTGAGAATGCGGATTCTATATATATCACAATTTTGTACAAAAACGGATAAAGAAAAATTCGGTAATAGCATATCGTAAAGGCCGTTACTACAGTTACATTTTAAGTATGGCGATTTTTCATCATGATGCTTTTTCTTTTGGTACAAACATGACTTTGCTTTTGTTCTATTATGGCACGTGAGAAAGTGAAATGTTGTACGGACTTGGACAAAAATGTATTAACACAAAACTTTGACAAACGATCATGGATCCAAGTGAATCCCGACGAAGATTGGAATTTCTACTGGTTCGTGAATAAATTGACAAGTCACACTTTTTCTGCCTTTGATGGATGTTAGAACAAGTAATTTTATTTATAGTTTGAAGACCTCAGGAGATTTATTTGGATTTGTTCTTTTAAAGCAACTAAGTCAAGAAGTTGACAGCACAAGCGATGATCCCCCTTCCTACTTTTTGAGAAGTTTTTCTTCGATCTTCAAAAATTAGTGACTCCGAAATTCTATTTATCCCGAAGAAAATATTTTCGTTAGAGTTAGTTGCATTCCTTTTGATGAACAGATCAATAATCTATTATTCTAATGGTGACTAGGCAATTCGCTGAGCGACTATTTTGCTCAAGCAGTTTGTCTTGAAAAATCGTCTAGAACAATTCATTTTGCGTCTTTTCACCGCATATACATAGTTTAATTTAGTTTATTCACGAAAAGTGAGAGTCATCAAAGGTCCATGACCTGTAATATCAATGACTCAAGCCAAAATAAAAATGAGATAGGGAAACAAAGGGGAGAGGGAAACAAAAATAATAACAGAAATAAACAAAAGAAGGAGAAACTAGGATATGCAACGAGGATATAAAAGTAACAATGGAAAAATAAACACAAATAAAATAACGTTAGAGAAAAACATAAGTTGATTATGACTGGGAACACGGCTGAATTTTACTGTAAGAGTGCCTTTTTGAACGACGTTAATGAAGAAAAACAAATAACTGATTCAGGAAGTTTATTCCAGTCAGTAATAGTTGAATAGAACAAAGCAGAGACAACTATTTGAGAAGAAAAACCATTGACAGACGTTGGAATGCGAACATATTTAGAATAATAACAGCGTAAAGAAGAGTAATGAGGACGATGAATAGAGTAAAAGATGGAAAGAGGACTAAGAAGATGATAAATTTTGAAAAACAGCACAAGTCGAAAATATTTGCGGCGAAGTCAGAGGTTTGGAAAAGAAAGTTGTGACACAAGTAAAGAGCTAGAAAAGCGTTAATCAAAATTACGAGAAATAACACGAGAAGCACTTGACCAGCAAAATTTCAGTATATGGGTAATATTCAATTCAGTCAAACCAATATGTCTCAAATAATCATCGATGGCATTATCATCTTATATAGTTCTATTGAATATTCATGATAAATAATCCATAAAGACAAAAAAGATGCACTGTTTTTCTCAAGGAAGGAGTCTAATTGTGTGTGAGGTGTGGGGTCTAGAGCTGTGACAGTTACCAGTTACCGTTACCAGCGTTCTCCGTTACTAGAGGTAACGGTAACTGATATAAAATTAATAAGCATCGTTCCTCGTTACTGGAGGGTAAAGGATTTCTTACTGTATATCAATTACCATTACCTCTACTAAGGAGGAACGATGCTTATTAGTTTTATGTCAATTATAGTTACCGTTAGTAACGGGGAACGATGGTAACGGTAACTGTCACAGCCCTAGTGGGGTCCCAACATTAATTGGTTTAGTGCCATTCTAGTAAGATACTTATCCTCACGTCGATATTTACTTCAATTGTATTGTATATCATCCCTCTTTTGGGATCTTGCCGTGTGCGCGATTTTATTGACTCAGCAGAGTTCTATATGTTCCTCCTAGGGCTTCGGTGACAACTGTTCGATCGATTTTTAATCCAACAACAGATCATCCTAGATTAACAGACAACCAGTAAGATTATTTGAAAACAAACTATTTTATCCTAATATTAGATTCAACTGTATCTTTCTTAAGAGTCATCAATCATTTTCCAAATCACTATGAACTGACACGAAAAGATCTAATGGTAAAAAACATTAAGCGATATCGGAAAGATTTAGAAAGAGATGGAAATCCGTTATCAGAAAAGGATGAATCTGGAGTATACAAACATTTAGGTAAAGACAAAACCGATAAATATATTTTCCTTTTTGTCTTTTTTTCTTTATTTTTTATATTTGTTTGTTTTATCAATGTATAGATTTTATTCCTGTAACATATATGATGCCGGCTGATTACAATCTGTTTGCCGATGATTTTCGTCGAGATCCAAATCATGCATGGATTATGAAACCAGCAGCAAGAGGTAGGATAATCATAATTAAACATTTATATCCAAATTATCTTTTTTGTGTTATTTAGCGCAAGGAAAAGGCATATTTCTCATTAACAAAATGTCTCAAATTAAAAAGTGGTCGCGAGATGGTACTAAACAACTTACACCTTGTAAGTCATTTGGGAACTTTATCTTTCCTTTAAACTAAACTATCTTCTCTTTTTTTTAGCTGCACCAAGTCGTGAAACATACGTTATATCAAGATATATTGATAATCCTCTATTGATTGGTGGAAAAAAGTTTGATTTACGCTTATACGTTTTGGTAACATCGTTTAAACCGTTGAAATGTTATTTGTAAATACAATTCTTAATCATTTATATTTAACAAGTCAATAGATTTATTTATCTCTCCAGATATCGACTTGGTTTTGGAAGATTTTGTACAGTGAAATATATATCGTCGTCTAGTGATATCGATAATATGTTTGTTCATCTAACAAATGTGTCATATCAAAAACAGAGTGTAAAAGAAGAGACTCTTTATGATCAATAATTAAAATAGGTCATTAATTCTTTTATTTAAAGGAAGATTACAATTCAATTCATGGTGGTAAATGGAGTATAGATAACTTGAAGTTGTACCTTGAAGGTACTAGAGGAAAAAGAGTAGGTTTTCTATTTAGTCATTATTCGAACCTTAATAAATACCGAGTGTGAATATTTCGTGAAAAGTTAAAAAATTAAAATTATCTTTGAAAATTAAATTATTATACGCAGTCCTTTTTTGTAACGGTGATAGTATAAAATATAGCCATGTGATTGTTTCATTCAAAAGTTACGATTCTTGTCCTTTAGCCCACTGATCGGCTTTTTGACGAAATGGCATGGATTATTGTTCATTCACTTAAAGCAGTGACGGTAAATCGAAACTAAGACGAATAATAGTCAATTTAATTGTGTTCAATTCATATAGAGCGTGATTACAAGTGATCGTCATTGTTTTGAATGTTATGGATACGATATTATTATTGATGACAATTTAAAACCATGGCTAATTGAAGTAAATGCAAGTCCCTCTCTCACATCGACGACATCAAATGATCGCATTATGAAGTTTAAAATGTGCGTGATTAGCCATTATTTGTACGCCTACCATAATTAATTTGATTTTAGGCTTAATGATGTACTAAATATTGTGGTACCAAATGGAGAAATACCCGATATTAAAAATAAGCCGCAAACAGTTACAAGAGAAACATTAGGTAAGAGGCAGAATATTCATTAAATAATATTTAAAAACGTCATTTTTTACAAGACTATCTTGCTTTTATTACTTAATTCTAGGCAACTTTGATTTGTTATATGATGAAGAACAAGCACAAATAGAACTATCCGACAAAGATTATCGAGAACAAAAGGGTAAAGGCGGCATTGTACCAATAATTTCAAAAACAGGTCTTCTATTAGCAAAAACAAAACAATCGTCAGCGTGGAGATAAGGATGAAAATTTGTAAAATTTATGATGTTATAATTTGTTTTGTAAATAAATATACTGATATCATCTGTATGATTATTATTGTAAACAAGATTTTATTTATAAATAAATGGAAATAGTTGTTTCAATATGTTGGCGGATAAACTAAATCAGAAACAGATTAGTGTTTGGAGCGTCTAAATAAGAAAATAGTGTAATGTTCGCCATTTAAAGTATAGAAAGTGAAAAGTTATTTGTACAAACATAATTCTAATTTCTTGCACATTTGTAATATGTAGTTAAACAAAATATTTATGTTAACAAATTCAAACATAGATTGTTTATTCAAATAAACAGAGAGTTTACATAGAAAAAAAAAGAACAATATTCAGATAATAATAATAAACATGACTGAGGCAGCAAAAAAAAACAACAAATACGTCTGTACAACTATGAAACTATGAACAATACAAGAAAATTCATTTTTTTAGAGTTTTTCACGAGCCATTTGCTTCCGATTTATCTGGCTCTCTGCCAATATCATCGTTATAGATATGTTCGGCCTAAAGATAACAAGACAGCTCTGAGTTTAATATGATACAAAACACTATTTTGTTTAAACAAAATGCGAGCTTGCGAGTGATACCGATCATGCAGTTCTCTTTGACTTTTTTCTGATAGATTGATCACTTTTTAAGTTAAAAAAGAACCATCATATTTTTAATGCAATATGTATTTTAAGTCGGAAAAGAAGGTTAATTAGCTGTTAGCTTTCTTGTTAGAATGTCTTCTTGCGTCAGTTGATCGTCTGTAAATGACTTACCATTTGCCATACTTGCATAACATTATCTTCCGAAACGGAACAGATAACGAATGGATCATTCGGATTCCAAGAAAAATCTGATATCTTCGCCGAATGTCCCCCATGAATAAACTAGAAGAAAAAGTCCAAAACTCATCGACCACTACATTTCAATTATTTATCTTACCAAAAGTTCGGGTGGTCCGTCTTCTGCTTCCGCAGCTGTTTGTGATTGATTAATGCGACTGTTAATTACAAATAGAGAATGTGAATATTTCTTGCATAAGTATTGAATGCGTATCTTGTTACCTTAAATCCCAAATATGAAGTCGACGATCAGATCCACTTGATGCTAATACGGTTTCATTTTGTGGAGACCATTGAGCCTAAAAAGAATAGCGTGTGACAATCAATTAATTTTAAAAAAGTGTATGATTAATGCTTAACGTACTTGAAATATTTCATCTTTATGTGATTCGAAAAGATGAAGTTTTACTTTAAGATTTCGTAAATCCCATAATGCCAGTGTTTTATCTGCACTACCAGTGACAAGAATATATTCAGAAAATGGATTAAATGCTAAACAATTGACTTCGGCTGCATGTGCATCGACAGTGTGACTTGCTTTAACATAATTATTTGCACGAGTATCCCAACTATAACATAAGAAGTACATTTAACACGAAAAGTGAATGTAGACATATGTCCAAAGGCTTACATCATCAATTTCTGATCATCACCAACAGATCCAAATATTGTCGGATGCGTACAATGCCAGGCAACATCCTAGAGGAAAGTTAAAATAGCAAGGATATAAAAAGCTCTTTTTTTATAGACTCAGACTATGCTTAAGTTAAATAAGTGCTGACAAAACTTGATATACAAAGTACATTTGAAAACTGCAAAAACTTCGAAACAAATGGCTACTTCACTTGTTCGGTCTAGTCCAGTAATTCGTATTAAATGACTGAGAAAAATTCACTCACCTCAACCACGGCAGTATGCCCGCTATATATTGATAAGGCATCCACATTTTTTCCTTCTTTGGGCAGCTCATTAATATTCCATAAACAAACAGTATGATCATCCGCTGCACTCAATAAATGTCCATTCACATGATGATTCCATGATAATCCGTAACCCTCTCGTGTATGACCTTTAAGTCTCAATTCTGGATTACATTCACCTAAACAAAAAATATATAATTTCATTTAGTCACAAAATTTTTTCTTTTCCTTCACTTTTACCTTGTTGTTCTTTTCCTAGTGGATGAGCGGTGACATCGAAGATCAATACATCTGACATCGGTGTTTTTGTGGCAATAATATTTGGATTTTGTGGCATATATCGTGCCCGATTCACTTCACCTTCGTGATTTATTTTCAAATCGATTTCGATCCGTCCAGTTATTAATCCAAACCCACCAAATTCTAAAAAGAGAAAACAAATAAATGGTACACAGCCGATATTATTGTGAAAGAAATTTAAACAAACCTGCTTTGTCATTATCATAATGACTGGCATCTAACTCAGCATCTTCATTCGGTAACTGTATACTTGCAATTACCAAATGATTTTGTTCATCGGATGTGTGTGTGCCAAGAATAAGGCGATGAATAGTAAAATCACGGCCTTCAGCCCTAAAAATATATTGAAGATTAATTAAACTGAAAATTTTTTTAAAAATTCTTCTCATAATACATACGAGTGAACATTGGGTAGCCACTGTGCTGTTAAGCTTGGCCACTCCAACGCATGTGTAATAACAAAATCATATAAAAACGGTGAATTTTTCTTCCAAATTTTGTATTCTTCATTAATTAATTTTTCTTCAACACTGTCTTCGAAATCGCCTGAATGTTATAACACAAAAACATTAAAGGGCTATGATACTCATGAGACCCTTTTCTACATACCTTCCATACTCTCTTTTTGTACAACCATATCTCGTCAACTATACGATGATCTGAAACTATAAGACAATTCAAATTTATACAATTATTGAAATTCTTTACTATACCGTGAAAACAAATCTAAGGATCTAGAGATTCCGAAACCGCGGCTATTATATTTGTCTTTAGTTAGTCTTATGTTAACTGACTGTCATCTAATCTATTTATAAACGTTCTAAACAGAAGGATCCACCAGAAGGCCACTTTTCAGTTCTTATTCATCGTCAGCTCATTCTGTTGTTTTAATTTTCCTACGTTCAATACTATTCAATACTACGTTCAATTTATTTTGTTTTCTTGCTTCTATACTTACAGATCGGATATTTATACAGTACCGTATGAAAAGTAAGAAAGGGTAAGCAATATTTTGACTATTGGTCAGTATTTCTTAAGTCACTAATACATTATGTAGATAAAGACCAAAAGCGTTTGCGAAAAACTTTACGATATATCAGAAGTATATGCAATTACAAATGTACGTAAGAATTGAATTTTCAGAATAATGATAGACCAGGAGCGACAAAGAGCGCCACTAGTTAACAATTTGATCTCAAGTCGGTTAAATATGTTCTTAATCATAGAAGACATTCTTGGAAAATGCAAGGAAAAGCATAAATGAAAAACTTTTAGATATTATTATTGATTGAACTAACCATAATCTGAAAAAAAGATTTAGTTTTTAAAACTATGAAAAGAAACTCAACGTAACTAGAACATACTCTTGAAATCGCTCCTGTTAACGTACCCAAGTAAAAAATCTTGACTGCAGATCTTGATAAAAACTTGAAAGATTTCGGAAGTTTCTGTTCAGTTCTTTCAAGATCTTATGCAGATTTATCGATATCTGTCAAGATTCTGAGATCATCTTG